TGTACAATATAACTCTACTTTCCCCAAATCTTCCTGTGATTCTCATTTCCTTTAATCCACTTATCCTACCCCTTTTGCCCTTCTAAACTTTCTCCTTGGGCAAACACTGCACTGTTGATCTTATGGGATTGATTATTCTGAGGAGTGTTACTGTTAATTTCATAGGCCTATCTGTTTGGATGAAATTTAAGCCACAAGAGTGAGTTCAGGAGTGACTAAGGGGCAGGGTCTCAAGAGCTTTGTCTGTCTGTATTAGACTAATCTGTCTATTTTTCTGTTTTGTTCTACATATTTCATTCACTTTAACCAGGACGAGGATATTAACTGACTTTCCCAGCCTTCAGAAGTTTATGGCTTTAGTTCTCATCAGAACACTTCTCTTCTTGGGAAGGACTGTCTGAAAGGAATGGATCAGTAGACATTGGATGTATGACAGTTAGTCTGGAACAAGGCATGCATTGCAGAATAAATTAGGAATTGGGAGGGAGGAATATATGTATAATTGAACAAATGAAAATCTAACCTTTCTGTTAACTTTCACAAAAATAACAATTTAAACACACACACACATACACACACATTTCTCTTCCAGAGAATAGCAAATTTTAAGACAACACTGTCTCCTAGAAATACAGTGCAAACGATATATATAATTTTACGTTTCCTCATTGTTGTCATTAAGAGCTGTCGAGTCATAGGTGACTCATAGCAACCCTATGAACAAAAGACCTGAACACTTGTATAACTTTCTTCATTTCTTCAAGTTCATAGAGTTTCCAGAGGCAAGCTGTTTCGGAAGTGGATGCCACTCCTGCTTTCAAGCGTGTTTTAATTGGGGAGCTCCACCAAATACTGTCCACCATGGGTGGCCCATATCGCATTTGGCATTGAGGGTCACAGTGTTTAGCATCACAGCAAACACGAGTTATCTCTGTACAGGAAATGTACAGACCTATACCACCTAGAAGAAAGTTTGACCAAAAACAATTAAGAGCAGGCCTGAGGGCCGCAGATTAAAATCACCCACCTTTGACTTGGTAGCATCACTTTCTGTCCATTAAGCCAACTGAGCTCTTTCTCCTTGTAGTCACATTTAAAAAGAAAGAAAAAAAGTAAAATGAATTTAAATAACATGTTTAACCACATTAGTTCCCAAGATGTCAAAACACTTTTGTGTGCTAATTAACCAACTTACTAGTTCAAACTCACCCAGTGCCTCTATAAAAGATAGGCCTGTGATGAGCTTTGTAAAGATCACAGTCAAGAAAACCATATTGGAGCAGTCCTACTCCATCACATGAGCTCACCACTGAGAAGTTACTCAGTGACAATGATTTTTTTTTTTCTTAAACTAATACATCCAAAATCTTCATAATGTAATCTGTAGAAACCATCATTAGTGAGGTGTTTTATTGTGTTTTTTTAAATCCTTTGTTTTCTAACTGTAGTTTTAAAATATAATGCAATTTATGCCTATACTGCATCTTATTTAGGACGAGTCACGTTTTAGGTGTTCACTGTTAACTTGTAGGTAAAAGTTTGTTACCTTGGACAGGATATTTCTAGCATGCTCTCAATCTGTTTCTTCTGTCCTCCCACTAGCCTTATACAATGAGTTGTATCTCTAATTCTTCCTCTTTAATTCAGTCCTAAAACTGAAAGTTTGGACTGATGGAGTTCTTTTGACTCTTCTTTTGCATCTGGGGCACCTCTAGGTTTAAAAGTAATTCGGCATTGAAGTCTATGGGGGAGAGAATAGTCTAAAAGTATTATATTTTAGGGCATTATTTTTATTGTAGGAGTATGCAATGAGGGTTGTAGAGTGGATTATATTTGGGGCTAGGGGGTGGGGTTTGGGGAGGTGCGGGGGGGGGATTGTGTACCAATGAGGGAGTTTTTCTTTTGCTTTTCAAGGAGCGGAGCAAATGGGGGGGGGGGGGTTTGTGCGGGGAGAAGGGTGCAACAATGAATGAATGGAATCCCAAAATCTCTGTAGATGTTCATTGAAATGAAAAATAAACAACCTAAATTAAAAAAAAAAAAGTAATTTCTTTGCATATAGCTGACATTCTTGGCACTTTCATGATTATGTCTATATGATAGTAGAAAGATTTATAAAGAGGAGACCAACTCGAATATGGAATAATATATGAATATGATAGTGTAAACATTGCCTGGTATATGACAAATTGTTCCATGTTCATTTGCTTTTCTGTCTTTATTAAAACCCCCTAGAACTCTGAAACCTGGCAGTTTATTTCTGGCTTTGTATTACTTAACCATTTTAATTTAGAGAAGTCCCTTAAGTTTTTGTTTATTTTTAATGTATTTTTCAAGTGGAGAGAATTCCTGGCTGTGAACAGAAGAGTAAATGAATTTGCACTGGTTTTGAAATCTCTGGAATAGTAGACTTAATATACATGGCAGTTTTATACATCATGGTGAATCAGACTTTCTGATTTGTAGTGCACTATAAGAATATTTATAACTTTTATCTTTTTTTAGTGTTAGTTTTATTATTTCATTGGGTATAATTGTTGGTTTCATTGTTATTATGTGCCGTCAAGTTGCCTGCGACTCATAGTGATCCTTGGCACAATAGCGCTGAACCCTGCCCTATCTTAAGCCAGTCTCACACCTTTCTCTGAAGGATTACTGTGTCAGTCCATCTCATCCAGTCTTCCTCACCTGTGCTGTCCCTCTACCCTTCCAAGCATGATGTCCTTCTCTAAAAATTGGTCCCTCCTGGAAACATGCCAAAAATATGTGAGTTAGAGCTTCAAAATCACTGATTCCAAGGAGCAGTTTGGTTTCACCTTCTCTAGGAAAGACTTGTATTTTCTCAACAGTCCATGGTAGCTCTTCTCCAATACCACAACTCAAAGACATCGATTCTTCTATCATCCTTAGTCATTGTCCAGTTCTCTGATAGAGCAGTACAATTGTAGAGTATTAATGCAGTGATCAGAACCAGAGATATTACTGAAGATAATTATTTTGTGTTTTCTAACTGAATCATGATACTTTAATTACATTTTCAATTTAGAATAGATTGATACTAATATTCCTTAATTTGTCAGCTTTTTCAATTAGATATCACTGAAGTAACATTGTGGAGTCTGCTAATAACAATGAAAATTAAAGTTCAAAAAATAAAAAGGAAACCATGAATTTGAGAAAATGTTTTTCATTCAATTTTTTCTATTTTTATTTTTTAGGCATTGTTTCATTCACCCATTATTCAGACTCTGATTTAAAGTCTGTTGGAGACTGTGGATAAATAGGTTTCACAGAAGGAATAAGTTAGGGAAAATTAATTATTAAACAGTCAATGGCTATAGTTGACATATAGAAACATATACTTGTAGTTATTTTGATACTTAGCACAGTAAAGAACAATTAACCTAGTTGTTGTTAAAGTGCTCTTGAGTCTACTACCACTCTAATAGACCCTGCTATAATTGAAGACTTGCTTTATAGTGTGGCCTTTAGTCTTTAGAGAGGAAAATCCCCAGAACTTTTCTTCTGCAAAGCAGCCTGACAGGTTCAATATGTTCTCCTTGAGACTAACAGCGGATTGCTTGAGCTTTGCACACCAGTCGCTGGAGATGATCCACATGGACATTTATGAAGTTTTACTACTGGATATGTTGGTAGAATCCTGTCTCTTTATCACTGAACTAGTCTAAGAGAATCTTACTCACGTACTATTAGTCTAGTTTGTGATTTAGATAATTTTTAGCCAAAACAATTCATCACTGTGTCCTCTAATATTGGTAAACAAAAATTTCTGTGAAAAGTTACTCTTTATTTTATAATATATTTCAGCATCTCCTATATGCCAGTCATTAAACTCTCATTTAAAAAATACTACTTTCAAGTCATTTAAAATATGGCCAAGTTGACAATTTACAAGCTTGAGCTAGAACCTGACTTACAGCTGGGTGGTTCTCACCATATCACAACTTCTCAATCATAACCACACTCAAGTGTCTAATAGCAGGGCAACACCCAAGGAATAAAAGCTATTTGATGTAGGTAATGTTCAGATTATCAAACTTTTGTAGTGGTCCTTCAATAATTAGTGGCATTGAATAGCTTGTTCCCAAGTCAAAGATGAAAATGACTTCTGATATTTAAGTGAAATATTTCCTAAAGTTGTATGCAGTAGTATTTGTCAATACCACCGTTATATGAGGTTGCATTCGTGTATTCAAGTTGCTGATAGAATCGATCTTAAAAGAAAACATATGAATTAAAATGGCGTTGTTCTTTCTAAACAGTAGTGCATCAACAACCATAATTCACAGATGACTGAGCTTTAGAGGCAAACAACACAATTGAGGGGGAAGAAACTGTTTATAGAGATGTGAATGGGAATCTCTGAGTTTCATAATCATATTCCCTATTGAAGAGTAACTATAGAACTAAGGACTCTATGTCTTCAAATAAAGGAATTCTGAAACAATTGGCGTAATTGTGGTATCTCTCCTCACCATCTGCCTTTTCACTCATTATCATGATATATAGAATGTCCTGAAAATTGACAGTAACTATCCCAATTTAACAAAATAATGCCATGTTTCCTCTAGTGCGATAAAGAATAGAACCATGTAAAGAAAGATTTTTCCCCCTACCCAGACTAAATTTCAGATTAACAACAGAAAAGCAAAATAGCTATTTCTGTCCCTTAAATGTTATACATCCACTATCTGCTTTCACTCTGGATGAAAATCCTTTTATGTAGGTTAAGAGACTTTAAAGCCTCAAACCTTATCTATAAGAAAACAGACACCACTCAGGTGTCTGCAGTTGAAGGAGATTTAAAAGGTGGTGACTGATAGAAATGGAAGAGAACCAATTATCAAAGCTCTCACAGTTGGGAGGAGGGCTAGGTGATGAGAGTTTGGAATGTTATCAAATCAAATTTGAGAAAGTATTAAGGCCAAATCAGTTGTCTACCATAATAATAAGTAATGGTTTGTGCTTTTGCTTTTCAGTTTGTATGTACAGAGAGCCATCACTGCATGAAATTGGAGAAAAACAAGGACGCTCGAGGAAAAGTTCTGGAACACCGACCATGAATGGAGGCAAAGTCGTGAATCAAGATTCAACATAGCTGAGAACTCTTCTCTTCTTCCCCTTCCAATCCCTTCCCTTTCTTTCCTTCCCCTCTACTCCTTCACATCCAATAAATTCACCCAAGGAGAGGAAAATAAAATGGCAATGCAGGACCCCTAATGGCTAAGATTCTGCACTCAAATTTTCCTTTGTGTAGGACAAGAAAATTGAACTAAAGCTTGCCTGTTGCAGTGTGGTAGGAAACGCACAGTACTTAACACACCATAAATGCAAAGGAAAAGAAATAAATAAATCAGGACTCCACATACGCTTTGAATTAAACGGGTTTGTTATTAACTGAGGGCTAAATGTAACAAACACATAACTATTATGAAGATAAAATAAAGATGCTATCTTAATTAAAAGGTTTTGGAAAATTGAATTTACCAGTGGATGTAATACCTTGAGCAACATTTTTAACTCGGAATAATGCAGAGATGTAGGGCTTTGTTTCATTCTGTATTTTTTTTTCTGAGCACCTGCAAATTGACAGTTACATTCTGTCAAGAATTTATTTTACCCCAGAATTGTCACATGTTTAAATTATGGAATCCCCTAATCTATCAAAGGCATATAACTTGGAACCACATAATACCGTGAAAACTTTTAAGAAATTATTCTTGAAGTTCTTTTTCTTGTTTTATGCAAAATACTAATCTTACTCTTAATCTACTGGTTTTATTGCTTCAGATAAAGGAATTTCATGTCCTGCTAGTAGAATATTTATCATATTCTCATCAGAAGTTTTAATCCAGGATATATACATTGATTCATTGATTTTTTATTTTTTTAATTTATTTTTAGCAATTTAGGCAAAAAAGTTCTAAGAATGCATTAGCTTTAGGGATTATTTACCACAGCCATGTATTGACAATGAGAGATAGGCTGCTCGCTCTTGCCATTTTCTGATATTCTGCTTTCTAGGTGGATGTCCAGCTGTCTTAGAGAATTTTGAATCATCTGTTTTAGCAGGAAAGAAAGAAGGAGTTACAAACAGGAAAAAAAATAAAGTCTAAGACATTTTGGAAAGCAAATTTATTTGCCTTTCAAGCTTCTTGTTGTTGTTGTTGTGTGCCCTGGAGTTGGAACTGACCCATAGCTGACCCAACAGTGAGTTTTCAGAAGCAGTTAATCTCAGGGAAAGAGATTGCCCCTCCTTCTCCCAGGGAGCAGCTGATGGATTCAAACCTCATGCCTTCAGGATTGCAGCACAGTTTCTTACCACTAGACCACCAGGTGGCACCACAGTTTCTTACCAGTAGACCACCAGGTGGCAAGAGGCTGTGTTGCAGTCCCAAAGGCAAGAAGTCAGAGGCCGCCAGCTATTCTGAGGAAGAAAGATGGGCAGTCTCCTCCTATGTGATTAACTGCCTCTGAAAACCCGCTGGAGGGTCAGCGCTGGGTCAGTTCTGACTAGATGGCGCACAGCAACACAATTTCAGGCTCACCTGAGGTTTATTCTAAACTCTCCCAAGTACTAGGGAGACATAGCTGTGAAATTCCTTATGAAGTCAGAGGCTTGAATTTACTATCTTTTATAAATGTAGTTAAGAATAAGGCTAACAGAAAGTTACTAGTAATTCATTGAATTTTCAGAGGATATAGGGAAATGCATGGAATTAATAGCTATGGCTCCAACAGATAATTGGATGAGTGGCTTAAAGTAGTAAAAAATAATTTAAAAACAGCCAATGAATAGTTAGGAATACTAAAGTATTAAAAATAATATTAGGGAAGATGTGAATTGCATTAGGGGAAAAGTAGATTTACTTTGTCCTACAAATCAGGAATGGTATAGAGACTTCCAAAAATAAAACAAAACCAAATACAACAGAATGTTTTTTAAACGTATGCAGACATACAGATATTATCAATGAGAAGACTTAGCATGTAACTTCTCCTATAGCTCTACTCTCCAGCATGTATTGTTCCAAATATGACTCCCTAAATATGTATACTTTGCAAAATCTTTAGAACCTCACCTCAATGACATTGTCATTGGTTGGTGTATCTTTAAAGGTCAATGTAGTTTCCCTCACTTAACACAATCATTATTCTTCAATAGTGATTTGTGTCCTTCACCTATTTATGTTATTGGAGGTTGTCAGCAGGAAATGAAATTAAGAAATCTAACTAATTAGTTACTAAGACTGAATTGCAAGAGATATTTATTTAGTCAAAATCTTAAAAACTAAAAAGAAATTTGCATTTTGAACCAGGAATGTTGCTCTTCAAGGACAAGACTACTCTGGTGAACAAAGTATAAATCTGGTATTTATCCTTGTCACTCTTGATCCAACTAGATGATAAATTCACCTGTCACTTACAGGACCAAACAAATTCCAAGCACAAAGCCTGTTTTCACTGAAGAAATAAAAAGAGGCTTCCACAAAAATGGGCCGCGGGATCTTTTAGCATGCAATGGCTTGAGCTTTTGTTGTAATACACACATGTGCAAAAAACAATTGACAGTTTCAAAGAGTTAATTACATGTTGTCACAAAAATATATTAAATATAATTAATCATATAAATACCTGATAGTTATGAATCACCAACTAAATTCCTCACTATTTCCAGTGGCTGTCCATTCTTTGTCATCTTCCTGAGAGCAGTTGAGACACACTTTTCCCCTCCATTTTTATTTTATGTAAATATTCACCACAGTAAAAATCTCTAAGTTAGCTTTGTTTTATTTCTAGTTCATTTCATAAAAGGAATCAGAAGCCCCATAATTCTTTTAAACATTGAGTTGACAAACAGTTTAGAGCAAAGGGGAAGAGTTTGCATGAATGCTTCTTACTCTGGAAGCATGTACAACCTTTATTAGAAACAAATCAGTGTTCACTGTCTAGCTTTTTAAACTGTTAGCACACATGCATATATAACTGTCCTATTTCTTAAAAAAATCTGAATCCAGTTAAATATTTTCAAATTTTCTTTTAAGTGAAATAATTCTCTATTTTGAATTTTTGTTGTTGCAAATTCTGGGTCTCAAATTTACTCATTGCTTATTTTCCTATACATGGAATAAGCTTTTATTTATTTATTTTTCAATGCATTGAGATATTCTCAGGTACAGATATAGATTTTAATAAAGCTTCGTCATTAGAATTGTAGCTCTAAGTTAAGACATTTATTTTATATGTTCTTAATGCAACATATTTCAACAACTAATGGACTTCATTAGGAATGAAAATAGAAACTTTGAAAGTGCCAGAAAATAGCTATCTGGCCCATATACCTTGCTTGCTTTTTAAGCCACCAGTTTGAGGTTTAGAGACAAAATGGTGCTGAAGTTCCATTTACTAATTCAGAGATTTTCATGCTTCAAAACACTGAAGGACAGCAAGCCAACTAACATTTGGTCACAGCAATAGTGCAGGCTTTGAATTTTACATATCAATTTCATGGCAAATTTTTAACAACTATGGATTGGCACAATAAACATCAGGGTGAAGCAATGTGATGTTTTATGGAGCACCTCATCGCCTCCAGATTGCTTCCTTAGAAGAATGCATTTAACAAACTTTATTTAAGAAAATAACAGCAGTGTCTAGAAATATTGTTGTCTAGACTGGTAAACCTTGGGTACCACTAGTCAGAGAAGAAAGCATTAAAGGTGAAGAATGACCTAGTTTGTGTTTATTGAAAATTTGGATGGCCAAATTTGAAAACCGTGATTTCTTGATGGAAAGCATGACTGAATCAACAGTAATATATTAAACAAAAACAAACATGGACCCAGAAATAGCAAATTCACTGTTCCACCTTCATGGCTTAGTCTACAAGACCTGGATCTAAAAAAGGTTGTCCATAAAATTGCCTAATTTAATCCAGATAAGGTGAAGCACGTTCAGTTATGAAAATCCCCTGGTCATCGTAATACCATTAAAGGCTGAGGTTATTTCTCTGTCAGAAAATTGTAAATAGCATTTTATAAAATCAGAATCACATTGAAAACCGTGGATTGTTTTACAAATATCTATGTGTGTATATATACATATGCTTCTGAAATATGGGTATATTATAATAGAGTTTTTATTTTATTTGTGGTCTTTAGTCCTAGATAATCAAACAGTAAAGATACTTGAATGCAAACTTTATATATAAATGTATATTTCTAATGCTAGGGGAAATGCTACTTTATAATAAAATAAGACACTGGTAGGAACAATGACAAAGCACATGCTTCTTCAGAACTTCAGTGATTCTGAATCCCCTTTTGGTGGAGAGAACTCTTTTTTTATTTCTTAGAAGTTGTCTTAAGAAGCTATGCTTCCAGATTCCATGAAATATCAGATTGAAAATTTATGTTTGAAGGCAGGAAAAAGATGCTAAACTTCACTCTGTTTTTCAGGATTTTCCCCACAGCCCAAGTTAAAAATTCCATATTTAAAATCTTAAGTGAAAATTTCTAATGTGCAGAGATGATATATTGAATTTTGGTAACAAATGGAAGCAAAAAATAACATCACATCAAGCACTGAATTGTCATCATCAAAAGTACATCTTTAAATGTTTTATTTGTTGGAAAGAATACACTGATGTTTCTTTGCGTCTTTGCGTTGGTCCAAGCACAATCTGATAACAGTGATAATCATTTTGCTCCAAGTTGTTAAAAGGATTCAAAATATACTCCCGTGATCAGAATTGGTATTAGCTGCATTACAAAGTTAAATGTTAAACTCTTCAGAAATTACACCAAAATGTTTAATAAAACACATTGTACAAGAAACTGAACAAATGTTTCCTTTTTGCATTAAAACACAGACTATCCAAATCATTGTTTTCTGAAATCAAACTTGTAAAGTGTTTCTGCACCACAAACTTCCTAAAGTGAAAAGCAATTAAAATCTTGAGATTCCCATGCATGTAGACAAAATGCTGGCACTTATTTTTTTACATTAAACTTATTTGAGAAGTCTTTTTTTTTAAATTAGTCAGTCTATACTATATATAATGTGTCTCTGAAAAATTGTTGTATCTTGTAAAATGATAAAAAATGGGCTTATGGTTCTGGATTAGTTCATATA